CCTACTGTAGAGGCTGGGATCTGAGGCAGCAGTACGGCCGACGCGGGCAGACGGTTCGCTCTTCGGGAGGGTCGATGCGTTGCCCGATCGGAGCCCTTCCTTGCGGCGTCGCAGGGTGAAGCGAGGTCGGGACGTCCGGCGGAAGAGAAGCCAGGCAGGGGGGCTTCAATGGGGCGCCACTCCAGTTTCCTCTTCATCTGGCTGCAACTGGAGCTGTGCGCCATGGCCATCCTGTTGACCAAAGGTGAGCTCCAGCGCCGGAGCGCTTCGGAAGGGCGAGGCGTCCGAGGGGAGCTCCCCGATCGCCTGGGGGTGGAGTTGCCTCCTTTTCCCGGTCTGGGTCAAGGTGCGGAGCGCGGAGGCTGTATGGCGGGGCCGTCCTTGAAGCGAAGAGAAGAGGGGAAAAGCTGGACGGGAGAGAACGAGAGAAGTGGGTGGCCGTGGGGCGGATCGCCCCGTCTCTCTTTGGGGGCGATCCGGCCTCGCGGAGTGCGCTGGGGTTGCTTGGCGAGCGTCGACCTAAAGCGTGCTGACAAGCCGGTGCCCGTCGACTAAGGGGTGAATCTCATGCAAGGTAGCGTCTGCGTTCCTCGCCATTCCCAATTTGGTTTGAAACGTAGAGTTTTTCATCGTTTAGCGCGTGGTGGGGACCCAGTCGGTGTGATTAGTGTGTAGTTCGGTGCGCCTTGCGAATCCAGAGAATCGGGTTAATTGACCAAAGTGAAGGAACCACGGGCCTGCGGTGCCAACGCAGCCGGTGGTGCCTTCGCCTGACGAACCTGCCTACGGTCGGGGCTTTCCCCAGCTATCTGCTTGCGCCAGATGACAGGTACTACTCTCTAAAGCGGCGATTCTGCAAAGGGTGCTCGGACCCAGGGCAACCCCTGGAGAGGAAAGGGGGATGGAAAACAAGGGCTTGGGGTGTTTGGCAGAGGAACGTGTGCCTGCCTGTGGGCACCTCGGCGCGGCTTCAACCCCATCGTCGCTTCCACGGGGGGACTTTGAAAAGCGGCTGGCCAGACTACAGGCGAGTGGGATGCGAGGCGGCGGGCGCTTCGAGTACGGGGGTGCTTCCTTCCGCGATCACAGAGGCGGCCCCGAGAAGCTGGCCGCGCTGGGATGGGGCGAGCCTTGGAGGCGGAGGGAGAGCAGCCCCCCGGGTCTGAAATCGGGCGCAACTCGCGCCTCGAGTTCTGGGTTGCAATTAAAATC